AAATCCTTAGCTACAGGTACAACCGCGTGTTGCTAACCATGATCAAGATTGCACCGTACTCCGAAGATATTGCAGAGGCAGCTAGGATCAAGCATTTGGAGTTCAAGGAAAATCATTTGAAGTGGTTAGAAGATGGTAACTTACATTCAGCAGTTTTTGAACCTGCTGATATTCAGATTAATGGTTCAGGTGATGCAAAATTTAGTACAAAGCCTAAATACAGGGGCAAATATGTATAGGTTTAATATTGAACGACCAATTTTTGAGGGCTCTTTAGGTTTTTGGCCTCAAGTGTTAGTGTATTAGTTAGGATAAATGTCAATTTTCGGCGGGATCTTTAAAATTGTTTATTACATTTGTGGTGTACCCACTTTGTACAAGTTTCTATCTCATAATACTATTCTGTTCTCATTCCATTCTTTGTAATTGTTGACTGACTTTGAGCTTTTTCTTTCTTCTTTGATACGAATACATTCATTAGTCTTTATCGAAAGCATCGGTCATGCTAAATCATCATTCAAAGAGAAGCAAGTAGAAAGATTAGGCTTTTGTTCATGAGAGAGAGAGAGAGAGAGAGAGACACACACACACATGTTCACACCATAATTTTTTTAGTAGCACCACATTTTAATTTGTGCTTAATCTTTACTCATTGTAAAACTTTTGTCCATACTTATTTGTCGTCAAACTTTAATCTTCAACATTTTATTAGTTAATGAATCTTGTCTTTGATGATGATTTTAGTTAAAATAATTTATTTTTTTGTGTACATTAAAACCAAGAAAAAATATTGTCATACTTTTACATTTGTTAATTTTTAAAAATATAATTCAAAAATAAGTTATTTTACGCCTCGAACGGACTTGTTTTACAAAAAAAACCATTATAAAATATGAGATGTGTTAATTAATAAAATGTTAAAAATAAAATCCAAAAAAATAAAGTAAACGGCAAAAGGATTATAGTAAGCAAAGATTGAGGACTTTAAATAAAATTAAAATGTGATGTAAAAAATAAAAAAATATAGTGTGAATATAATTACTCTATCAATATGAACAAGTTGAGATTGGCCTGGGCATGTCTTGTGCAACCATAGTGACTTTTGTTGGGATTTTGTATCGGAAATTGGTTGTGACC